TGGTTTGGGGGATGTTCTACGTAGAAACTATCATCTCTTTAACAAGGACACTATTTCTTCCTTCTCATATTTATTTTCTTGTCTTACTGCATTATCTAGAACTTCCAGTACAAGGCTGAATGGGAGTGGTGAGAATGGACAAACGTGCTTTGTTCCTGATCATAGTGGCAAAATGTGTAGCTTCTCACTGGGAAGTCTGATGTTAGCTATAGGTTTTTTGTTGATGCCGTTTATCAGGTTGAGGAAGTTCCCCTCTATTTCAGTTTGCTCAGAGTTTTTATCATGAATAAGTATTAGATTTACATGATTTAGAGTAGATATTTTATTCAGTGCCTTTATTGTCTGGTACCCCCAAACACATTATATGTTGAGGACATTGTTAACAATGTCCTTATTGTTCCAAAGACACAAGTTTTCACCTCTTTGGGGTAAATACCATTGAGTATGATTTCTGTTTATTTGATAAAACTATGTTAGTTTTTGAAAGAAACTACCAGATTGTCTTCTACAGTGGCCGTACCATTTTGCATTCTCATCAGCAATAAATGAGGGTGCTCTCCGTCTTTGCTAACATTTGATGTTGGTGGTGGTTTGGATTTTAGCTTTTCTAGTAAGTATATAGGGGTATCTCATTGTTATTTTAATTTGTAGTTCTCTGATCATATAAAATTTAATATGCTTATTTGCCATTTATATATTTTATTTCATGAGCTGCCTGTTCAGATTTTTTGCCCATTTTTTAATTGGGTTTCTTATTGTTGAATTTTAAGAATTTTTTGTTTTCTTTGGATACCAGTCTTTTATCCTGTCTGTGACTTGTCTTTAAATTCTCATAAATGGTGTCTTTCATAGAGCAGAAGTTTTAAATTTTAATGGAATAAAAATTTTTTTTTTTCATAGATTGTGCTTTGGTATTGTATCTGAAAGTTATCACTATGCTTAAGGTCATCTAGATTTCTTCCTGTGACTCTTAGGCGTTTATAATTTTGTGTTTTATATTTAATTCTAATCCACTTAAGAGTTAATTTTTGTAAAAGATGTAAGTTCTCTGTATGGATTCATTTTTGCTGCATATGAATGTCCACTTGTTGAAAATACTGTTCTTTCTCCATTGAGTTGCCTCTGCAATTTTCAAAGTTCAGTTGACTTTATTTCTTTGCATCTATTTCTGGGCATTGTATTCCACTTATTTTTCTATTTTTTCAACAATACCACCCTGTCTTCATTACTATAGTTTCATAGTAAATTGTGAAGTTGTATAGTATCAATCTTCCAATGTTCTTCTTTCTTTCAGTATTATATTGGCTCTTTTGGGTTTCCTGCCTTTCCATATTAACTTAGAATAATTTGCCAGAATTTTGACTGGAATTGTACTGAATCTACAGATCAACTTGGAAAGAACTAACATCTTGAAAATACTGAGTCTTCATACTCATGTACATGGAATATCTCTGTATTTAGATCTTTGATTTCTTTCATCATTGTTTTAAAGTTTTCCTTATAGACCATGGTCATATTTTTTAAATTTTTGTTTATACCTAAATATTTCAATTTTTGGTACAAATGTAGATGATATTGTGTTTTTATTTCAAATTA